CAAAATGATGTAAAAATAAGCTGTTATAAATAAAAATTAAAAAATAAAACATGGTCTCCTACAAAAAGTCCTCATAGGTATTTATGGATACAAATTTAAGCTACATGGCTAACATGTTAATTCTAATCTAAGCAACTTTCAGGCTAGCATAGGCTTCTTTATAGGATGAGAAGTTTTACAGGGTACAAGGATATCGGTACATAATTTGAGTTTACAGACATAGGAAATACGTTTCATGAGTTTTAGAGACAGTAAGTGATAGAGATATTCAGAATAAGACAAGGTAGCTAAATGCTGGAACAGTCAGGAATAGCTCCATATAGGGCATGAACCTTAAAAAGAAGGTAGAACTTAGAGAAGATAGAAGACGGGAAATGAAGGAGAGACTGGATATAGAAGCACAGGATGATGTAGGGGTTATTTCTGGGTAGGACTGGTATGATAGAAAGCAAAGGAACAGATGAAAGAATATATAAAAGATGTAAATGACAGATGAGTAAATCAATTAGGCTGGCTTTGAGGATTGACAAAGGAACTAGAAGATGAGAGAAGACTATTTCTAAATCAATTCTGAAGGCAAGGCTAAAATATTGCAATTCATTCCATTGAATTCTATTTAATTCAAATTCCTACACTAGACAGAGGAAACACTAAAGATTTTTAAAATGAGCAAAGATGATCTGGCAAAGATAGTATATATTGAGCAGTGAGAAGAAAACTGAAGATAAAGGGTCAAATAATGGAATCCCTGACTAAGTTAGATGGTAACCAAAATTGAAAAAGACAAAACAGAAAAAGAAATCACTCAGAAATGATAGAGGATGACTACTACTTATTTTTTTCTGTTGAGGCAACATTGGTTCACAGTGTTTGTGTTTTAGAAGTATGGGGTCTCCAATCTCCTCCTTCAGATGTTACCATACCACACCCATCACCAAAACGCCCATAGAAGTTTAACTCCTAGGTATCACTAGTCCATTGTGTTCCCTCCCCAACTTGTTCTTACTCCTCCTCTTCCCCCTTCCCTCTAGCAGCCACTAATCTATAGTCAGATTTCAAGGGTTTAGTGTTAGTTTGGCTTTATCTGACCCCTTACTTGGTTTCTCCATATTCCACATATAAGTAATACCATAGGTATTTGTCTTTCTACTTCTGACTGACTTTCACTTAGCATAACCCCCTCTAGCATCATTCTTGTTGCCACCAATGCCAAAAGTTTATCTTTTATGATAGTTGAGTAGTAATCTATTGTGTATATATGTACCATATCTTCTTAATCTACCTATATTTGGGCACTTATGTTGTTTCCATCTCCAGGCTACTATAAGTGGTGCTACAAATGAACACTGAAGCGCATGCCTCCCCTTGAATAAATTTCTTTTTGTATTCTCAAGTAGATACCTTGGAGTTGAACTGCTAAGTCACATGGCAGATCAATTTTTTTGATCTTTTGAGTAAACTCCATACTGTTTTTTCCATAGGAGTGGGACAGTGTACATTCCTACCAACAGTGTAAAAGGGTTTTTTTTCTCTCCAAATTAAATGGGAATCGAGGGAATGGTGTCATGAAAGATAATAAGGGCTTCAGCCTAAGTGACATAACTTATCTATATTAGAGGTAGATGCTACTGAGGCAATGGATAATATAGTATCTCAAATACCTGTAGATGCTGCTGAGGCAATGGATAATATAGTATCTCAAATACCTGTAGATGCTGCTGAGGCAATGGATAATATAGTATCTCAAATACCTGTTTACACAAATATTTACTATATAGTTACCTGTCTCCATTGTTACAGAATTGAACAGCAACAACTTTATCCTATAATATAAAACAACATATTTATGGTTAAAATTTATATATATAACAAAGTGTTCTTCCCCTCAAATTCACTTGTGAAAACATTGTGGCATATATTTTTTTAATAGAATTTTAAAAGAATACTAATTTTCTTTGAAAAAAATTAATGAAAGTTAAACACTGAATGAGCCAAGGAGGAATACTTATCAACAATACTTGAGACAAAACAGACATAAGCAAACTTGTTTTTTATATGGTTTAGAAAACCATAATCACAATAGAAAGATAGTTCTAAATAGGTATTAGTTCATTATGTCTCCCCTAAAATAGTATACCAATCAAAACACCACTTTAAAACTAATTGGTTTAAGAGTAGTTAAATTCCCTCCTTAATCCCGTATTTTAATTTCAGAAAAATTAATTTTCTCTTTCCCACATCGAATAACTAACTTACAATGAATTTATCTGTTAGCCTTTGTTTATAAGGTTATAGTTTATCGATTGCTATTTGAACCATGTATAATGATCAAACCACACACTCACAAATCTAATGTGTATCATAGCAAGAAAAGTGTAAACCAAAATGTAGATTGTCTCTGCTTTATCCCTTGATAATAAAAGTGTATCCTCAACTGTTGTACACATTTTCACAAACCACTCAATCACTACAATGCATCTGAACTTAATTTTTAGTTAAAAACTCAGATACTAAATGACTTAGATAATGATATTAAATGACTTAAATATTTTTCATTAAGATTTTTTTAGGTTATATATGTTCTAAGGTAACCATGATTGAAACTGTTACAGTTTCACTATAGTGTAAGTCTAGGAAACTCTAGATTCACTCTGCCAGCTGCAATCACTGGTTGTCCATGTTCTGAAGGGACATCTTATTTTACATAACTAAAGTCCCCACTTATTTCAATAGGGAATATTTATTTCATCTTATTTTTCTTATGAGCTGAGCACCTGCAAAAAAACAGCTCTACCAATCAATTTTTCTTCATCTTCCACTCTACCCAATTCTGTAAGCTCTCAATAAATTTAACTGCACTGATATATATGCTCTACTTGGGCATCAATTGTAAAGATGCCTCCTTTGTATGCTCTAGCACAAATGAATTTCCCATAATGTATAGTCTGACTGAGATCATTATATCCTAAGTTTTTCCCTTTCATAATTTAAATATTCCAGGATTTTAGTATTTATGAATAAGATGATAGGAAGACAGGAACTCAGTTTGGTTCAGCAAGTATTCTTGATATTGTCCTATGCTTTTATGTCAAGACAAAAAGCAGGAGGTTTTTCCAAAAGATCAAAAAAGAAAAAGCTTTCTAACAGGGGCTCTTTTACTACAAGTTTCAGGAGTATGATTGATTCCACAACTCACGAAGTAGCTTTTTAAAGTTATCATTCAGGGAACTGTGCGTATTTTATTAATTTATGCTAATACTGCTTCAACTCAGTTGTCAACTGTAATTAAGAACTGTAATATTAAGACTTGCAAAGCTGAATGCTTTCAATTTCTGACACAACTTAAAAGAGATGTACAGTGAGTTGAATAAAACTACTACCACATTCATAGTAAATAATTATCTGGAGAAAATGATTAAGAAAATAATTAGGAAAGGATGAAAGTAACACAGGGGAGGGGAGAGAAACTGAGAAGAAAAGTGTCAGTCACTAATGTCTGTCACCCCAGGAATAAAGCTGTTTCCTGATAGAAGGCTGTTATTGGTAACAAAGTGGAATTATACTTCAGGAATCTTTAATATCATTTTGAAAAAAATACTCATATCAACAACCTAAATTCTGTACCATTGTTTTTACTAAGACATACTTAATATGTATGGCTTTAACAAACATATCAATTTAAGTGTCAATAACTTATTTAATTAAAAGTAAAGCAGGCTAAAAGAGCCAGCTAGAATTCTTTTAATAAACCATTATTTATAAATTATAACTGCTACATGCAATTTTTATTCTATAGTCAAATAGGCCTTATCTTAAAAAACATAGCTAACTAAATTCAGATTATTGCTCTGATATTACTGAAGAGAAATATTATTCATATAGATTTTAGCACCAATCTTAGCAAAATAGGTGCAGCTGAGAACAGAAGAGTTAACACCAATTTTCCAGGGATATTATAAAAGAAAGCAGCATATTTAAGTTTCTTATTTTGTCCTTACCGTGTGTGACTCTAATTCAGCAATTTTCTCTGGGACCTCAGAACCCAAATAATATATCCTAATCACATGGTCAGTGCTACCTGTTGTAATAAACATACCACCTAGAGGATTAAAAAAGCAAAAGAAACATCATATCAAGGTACTTTAAAATACCTGATAACTTTTTTAGTTATATGTACCTCATGTAAATTAAAAGTTTATCTTCTAATCATTAAAGACATAGTAACCTTTCAGAAAATATAAAAAAAATTCAATATAGAGAAAAGAAATATTTAAAGGGCAACTATAACTTCAACTCAACAACAAAAAATCCACCAGTTATACAATGAACACAAGCATAAAAGATCACAGCTTTCCGGAATTCACTCCTTTATTTTTATGTCAAGACAATAATGTTGCAAAATTATTTATTATTTATAAAATGATCTATTATCTAAAAGTCTCCTTATAGGACTGAAAGTGATTAAATATAAAACACTCCGACTTCTAGGATGATGAAAAAATTCTAGAATGTATAGTAGTAATGTAGGCAGAATATAAACATACTTAAAGCTACAGAACCATACACTGAAAAATGGCTATTAAAGTGGCAAATTTTGTTATATTTTATAAAATAAAAGAAAAAGAAAAGGTTAATTAGAGTATGATTATTAACAGTGGGAAAGCACTGTTTACACATTGTAAAAGTGTCCCGTATGTGAAGCAACAGTAATATGTTTTCTGAAGTCATGGCAGGATTTTAGTGTTGAATTTGTAGGGATAGTTGTCTATTATTTTTACTGACTAAATTCTGTATTATAAAAAATATTAATTGCAGGTAAGAAAAAAATTCAACAGCTTTTACATACCAATTAGAATCCACACAGTCCACCTATCATAACATGATTCATACTTTTGGTATGCTCTTCTATTAACACTGAAACATAAGCATTTTACTTCCACAAATTTGAAATATACATTTGTTATAACTGGATCACTTAATATTTTCAGTATTCAAAACATTTCATTTTTACACATACCAGAACTAAAAGATGAACAAGATATCTGAACTCCAGGTCTGGATCTCTCAGTAAATTTCACTGGACGATCTCTAAGGAAAAGCAATATGTTCTTATTTTTCATCATGTTATCTAATGCATAAGAACCTTAGCATGCTACTGGATATTAATATATTTAGTATCAATATTATAGAAAGCACAAAATTAAAAGTCAATAAATACTACTCCCATAATTCATGTTAAAAATACATTTACCCTTAAAAATATGTTTTACAGTGTCAGTATTATTAATATACTTTCATAAACAAATTAACATGATCTTTCATTAACATGAATATGAACTGTATGGGTCTACTTATATGTTGATATTTTTTAAATTAATATATTGGAAGTTTTTTTGAGATTTGAAAATGTATCAGTTTATCACACAGGTAGGTTTTTTTAAGATGTAATATTTTCTGCACTATAGTATGAATATGACTGTAATACTATATGCCATAAAGCTTTTAATAAGGATTCACTCATATAGGCTAGGCTACCACGAAACACTCATATCAATCACGCTAAGTGGCTATAAAGTAATCATGTTGCTGCTTCTTTGCGATTAATGCATGAATCTTTATATCAGTAAATACACATAAATTTATTTTTCATATTAACTTTTAATTTTTTGATATCAAGTATTAGCAATATGTATAATATCTACAGTTGTTTTTCAATCTCATAAGACAATATTGATCTAGATAATAAAAAGTTAATTCAACTTGTAAACAAATGATGTGAGCTTTATGTAATCAACAATAGAGTACAGGATATAAACATACTTTCTTGTCCCTACGACTTCTTATTAACACTTCCTTTTCTCTAGCTTACCGTATTTAAGACTGCAGTACACATATAATTACATAGACTATATATATGTGTTTATGTCTATTTATGTTATCGAATAAGACAAACAGCAGGACATTAGTAGTTAGGTTTTGGGGGAGTTAAAAGTTCATGTGGATTTGACTACATGTGGGTCAGTTCCCAACTCCTACATTTTTCAAAAGTCAATTGTACTATCATTAGGAGTACAAAGTCTTAGCAAGATAAGAAGTTAAAAAATATATATTCCTTCCCAAAACTGTGTATAAATCTCTTCAATGTAGTCCCATCAAAATTTTATTTCAAAATCTCTAACACAAAATTGAAGTATGGACATATATATACAGATAGATGGATAGATAGACAGATGGTAGATAGATAGATAGATAGATAGATAGATAGATAGATAGATAGATAGATAGATAGATAGATAGATAGATAGATGAATGGATGGATGGATGGATGGATAAAAACTAAATACACTGACAATTAAAAATATCTCAAAGTAATAAAGCAAAATTAATCATGCATGTTTTATACACAATTTCTAATCCAGTACTAAACTTACCTAAACTTCATTGTTTTTGCATGCCATTGCCAGAAACACACTGTTCCATCAGCACCAGTAGAAGTGAGGTATCTGGTTGTGCCTTTAGTTGATGGACAAAACTTAAAAAAACAAAAAATTCATTTCAGATAGAAAGGTTCTATGTTTAAATTTATTGTAAACATAGCATGTTGTAAAATTATACTCACTTTAATATGTTATAATATTTTCACTTAAAATATTATGATATCAGCTATTTAAATTTAAGTTTTAGAAACATTATAAAATGCTTAAATATAATTAGTATTTCTAATTTGTGATCTAAAGTGTAGTATATAATCCAAATTTTTGTTAAAGTTAACACTGCCTATTACTACACTAATAGTAACTATAATTAATCATCAACGTCAATTTTACTTTTATTTCTTTATTGAAGTAATATTGGTTTACACTGCTCAGATAAATGAACACTTTACACAAATTTAAAATGTAAAATAGCTGTAGAAAAGAGTCATTGTACAATATTTTAAGTCTAAAAATGACTTTAAAATCACTTAACATCACACTTCTAGATTTCACTAATTTTAATGAAGAAATTCAAGTCATTAATAGTTAAATCATTACAGACTCCCTGCTGGCTTAAGGGTTAAGACTCAGCTCTATCACCAATACACCATGAGTTCTATCCCTTGCCAGGGAGCTAACCCACATTCAGCCTAGCAGACCTCTCCTGTCCTGTGCACTGTGCCTCTCAGCAGTGTGTTTCAGTAAATCTGCCTGTTCTGCTCCCTACTCTCTCTGATGAATACTCTCACCTCCTGCACCTCTGAACTATACCACAGTTCTACACACAAAAAATTAAACGATGGTTAAATCAATAATCTGTTAAACATATGTTTACATAGTAAAATTTATCAATTTTTATATACATATGTATATGACATCAGAAGTAAATCTAAACCAACGATTAGGAAATAATATCTAAGTGTCTGGGCTTTAATATACCATTTTAAATTCCAACTTCAATGAAGTATGGTACCAATTTTGCTCTTCTAAAATGTAAGCATGGCCCTCTCTGGTGGCTCAGTGGGTTAAAGCACAGCACTACAAAGCTAAAGACACTTCAAGCATGAGTTTAATCCCCGCCCCAGGAGGTGACCACATGGTGTGGCAGACCTCTCCTGAGGTACCCGCTGCTTTCCTCAGCAGTGTACTTCCTCAATCAGCCTGCTTTGCTCTCCACTCTGTCTCTGGTGAAGCCTCTCACCGCCCCTGCACTTTGGCCTGTACCTAGTTCTGTACACATAAATAAATAAATCTTTAAAATAAATAAATAAATAAATGTAATCAATATCATTCATTTTAATGACTAGTTTAAATAGATCAAATCTCTGCAATATCATGGAAAAAACAGATTAAAAAACATATACTTGGCCCTCCCTGGTGATGCAATGGGTTAAAGCACAGCACTATGAAGCTATCTGCAGCCACTATTGCACCAGTTCTATCCCCTGTCAGGGAGGTGACACATGTGGTGTGGCAGGCCTCTCCTGACCCACCCGCTCCTCCCCTCATCATTGTATTTCAGTTGATCTCCCTGTTTTGTTCCCTACTCTGTCTCTGCTGAATCCTCTCATCCCCCACGCCTCTTGCCTTTACCCCAGTTCTTATATGCATAAATAAATCTTTAAAAATATATACTTAAATTGCCAATTTAAAGGACAGTCACAACCCTACTACTAGACCATAGGTAACCTTTATCTAGAAGTCTGTTTCTGATACCTAGTACTTTACATGTCCTTAGAGAAGAATCACAGACAAGGGAAGAGCTAGTAGACTAATGATGCAAGGGGACATAAGAAACAGTTGAAAATCAAACTTATCTCTAGTATGCTTAGAGTTTTAAAAATTCCAAATGTAGATAAAGAATACCTTTTACTGATATGAAGATTAAGTATAAAGGTGCATAATATTTCAATAAAATTTTAATTCAAATTAAAAAAAGGTAATTATAGAAATTAGAAGTTATTTACTTAGTTTCACTGTTTGGAAGCACAGAAATTCTAAAAACCACAGTTTAATTCACACAGTAATCATCAATTAATATTAGCTATTAATAGTTAATGTACAGTAAAGAGATAAATATTTGGGCAGTTTACATATAATTTCTAAGATAGAGAAGCTTGCATTAGAAAACATTAGTGCACAATCTATAGCAAGTTATGGCCCACAAACCCATTCCACCATACTACCTGTTTCTGTAAATAACATTTTATTGAACAATAAGCTATACTGTCCATGGCAGCTTTCGCACTGCAACAGCAGAGTTAGATATTTCCAACAGATACCACACAGACTGAAAAGCCTTAACATTTACTATCTGGCCTATAAATGTGTTGGTCTCTGATCTACAAGAATGAAACAAATATAAAGAGTAATTTTGTTAAGTTGAAGAAACTAAAATTAATTTTTATCCCGACTATATTAAAATTGATTCATCAATCACAAAGGGGGATCTGGTCTGTCAGTATACTTTAAATGGATTGTTTTTAAGTGACAAATCATTTTAGAGTTTGTAAAAATGAAAATGTGCTTTCTGAGATACAAATATGGCAGATAAAATGAGTAAGAGCTACTAACTATCCTTCCACCCAGAGGCAACAACTATCAATAATATACCACTTTATCTCAATTAAAAAATATATTAAATGAGACAATTATCAAAGAATAAGTAAAGCACATAGAATTCATGCTAAATGGTGATTATTATTAGGGATAAAAATGAAACTAAGGAATGATACAGTGTGTAGATGGGGGATATTTTATTGGAGTGGTTAGGTGGTCAGATAAGGTTTCCCTGAGAAAGTAACATATGCACAGAGCAATTAGAAAATGAGGTAATAAGTCTTATGACTATCCAAGGAAGACCATTCCAGAGATAAGAAAAAGCAATAGCAGAAGCAGATGTGTAGCTAGAGTGTTGTAATAAAGCAGAAAGGGCAGCAGTTAAAACAGAGTTCAGTATACAAGTAGTGAAGATTAGGTAGGTAAAAGAGAGCAAGGAGCTGAGAAGGTAAGATACTAGAGGTCATTTCAAAAGCATCGGCTTTTATGTCAGGCTCAAACATTACTAGATACTTGATTTAAATTCCATTTTAAAATCACTCAGATTGCTATGCAGAGGTTAGACTCAGGCAAGAGAGAGGGGGAAAAAATGCAAGAGTATCAGTTAGATGTCTATTTCAATAATCTATGTTACAGATGATAGTAGTCTGAAACAGGGTATTAGTGATGGAGGTCATGACATTTGTCAGACTCCAAATATGTATTTATGTATTAGGCGAGTAGAGTCGACATGATTTCCTAACAAGTTTTACATACACACACACACACATACACACACACACACATACACACACACACACATACATATACACATATATAAAAGATATAAATATACATATTTACATGATTTAACATGATTTTCTAACAAGTTTTATATATATACACATATATAAGTATAAATGTATATATAGCTTGTTAGAAAATCATGTTGACATATATGTGTGTGTGTGTGTGTGTGTATATATATGTAAGAATGAAAAAAGTCAGAAATGACAGCTCTAATCTACTGCTCTGAGAGAAGTCAATGAATTTATTGAATGTCAACCATCATTACAATAAGATCACTGAAATTAATACAAAAATTTTCCTAACATTAAACTACAGATACAGAATCTGACAAAAAAAATCTTGCAGTAAATACAAACACAAAGTATACCAATATTCAAGTTAGAACCTGTTTATATTCTAATCAAGTACTAATGTTGTTCTTTAAAGGCATTCATAAGTCTCCTTACTTAATAAATATGAATGAAATAAACATGTTTAACACTATCTGCAAAAAACCTTTCCAAGAAAACTTTTCTAAAGGGAATAGATTTTTATGAGAAAGGAACTTTAAATATACCTGGCTATCAGAGAAAGACAAGAACTGTATGATTTCACTCAAATGTGGTACACAAAGTAACAAAATCAATAAACTAAATAACACGAAAATAAATTTGTAGACTGTAAGGCCAATTAAGGGTTATCAGACAAGGGGAAAATGGTGGAGGGAGGGCAGGTAGAAATCCAGTAAGAAGTCAAAGGCATTGTGAAGGATAGAACTGGACATTTAATGGTAAACTTAATGCAGTATGTACAGGTACTGATCTATGATCATGCACAACTGACAATGTTAAAATGCAATGTTACTTTAAGACTTTTTTCTTAAAAAAATATCAGACTGTTGCATAGGAACAAAAGACCATAAGAGATCAACATTTCCCCATTTTTAAAATTATACAAACAACAAAATGAAATTATATTGTATTATATACATTAGTGTTCTCCTTTAAATTTTCTCACCTGTATGGAAGTAATAGATGCTGAATGTCCCTGAAGGACTGCAACTGGTGCACAAGTTCGAAGACACCACACTCTTACCACCTTATCACAGCTGCCTGCGGCAATGAGAGTGTTTTCATAGTTAACAGCCATGTCAGAAATTTCAGCAGAGTGCCCTCGAAGTGTAGCAAGGAGGCGTCCATCATCTGTAGCCCAAATTTTCACCAAACAGTCATCTGAACCCTATGGTAATACAAAAGGATGGGAGATTTACAATGAAGTAGTCCTGTCACACCAAACAAAAATCCACAAAGGGTGATTTTATTAGGTTACTTGTAAGTCTTTACTTTGCAATGTCCTCTTTCGACATAACTTAAATCTAGTAATAAATATAAACAACGTCCAAATAATAGCACTGGCAAAACATTGTCCTAACTTACAATGGCTTTAATGAAGAGCTCCTTAAAACTACTATTAGTCCTAACAACTCCAAAAATAATTTAACTCATTCATTTCTCAGGAAAAAAATTGTGCTGAGGAAAATATTATGCTGAACTTTCTACTGAGTATTCAAAATAGCTTGAAAATTGTCAGATGAAATCCTACTCTAATGTAGATGTTAATAATTATGTTAATGAAAAAGATGGCAAGGATTATCTTTATTATAGTCATTAACATCCAAACATCTAGGTGATACATCTGGAGTCATAACTGTGCTGTGTTTTGTATTCAAAAGCACATGATGTGACTTGGTGAAAAAAAAAAAAAACCCAATTTTAAAAATAACCAGTACAAAAATCAAAGATACAGACAAGAACTATAACCACTAAACACAGGTTGATGTAATCATTAATTAAGCAGAACTAACACCAACCATACTGTGATAAATGGAAAATGCATTTTAATAAATATTTGTTAAAATAGAATGATGTGAAATTAAGTAGCTAACACATAATTTAACTATCTCAAGAATATTTAGAGTAGGTTTCCCAAGATTGAGGAATTACATAAAATTAGAAAAGGTCTCAATTTCTACTCATCTTTTCTTGCAGTCATGTATCTAAAAAGGATAAACTGCTATAAAAATAATTTAATGCCATAAGATCTAGCTTCAATTGTTATATATCACCAAATATGCTGCAGTATCATAAAATTTAAACTCACTGTAAAAATTCTTCTCCCACTTCGGTCAAATGCTACACAGTAGACTGATGATAAGTGCCCCAAAATTCTCTTATGCATCTTAATGTGCTGGTAAGCAGATGAAGGGAAAATATGGCTGAAACGACTACATCCAGTTAATTGCCTGGCAGAGGTGATATTCACTGGAAAACATAAAATAGGATTTTCACTTCTTAGAACCTAAAAATTAAAGCCAACTTCCTGAAGTTAAATCATGGATATTAAGATGAGACAAAACATGATATACACATCACAATTCTATCCATGTGAAATTTAAATTCCTTTACATTTCTCATGATTTCATTGACTTAAAATCACTACTACAAAGTACTGCAGATAATTTTTTTTTAAATGGAAGAAAGTCTTACTTTCTGCTTCCTTTACTATGATTTCTCAAATACATCCTATGCTTTGCCTTCCTTGATGCACTACAGTCCAAGACACTGTCATTTTATAAATAAATAAATTAATTAATATATAGACAAATCTTAAAGACAAAGGCTATATTTAGTTAAGTATAATATATCCTTAATGTTGTGCTAGGAAATTCATGCATTTCTGTTTTGCCTCCTCATACCAGCCTGCCCAACTTTCAGCTGTCCCAAAAATCTCAAGAGTAAAACAAGAGATTCATACAGTGAGAAAAGAAGGCAAATTATTAAAGCACATTGGTTTTTAGCAACAAATCTTTCTAGACATCCCTTTTTGGTTTCTGAAACTAGAGGCTCTCCCTCTAGTTAAAAATGAGCTTCTGCGGTCTTATCTCCTATCAGTTCATCTTACCTCCTTTATTTTCTATTGTTCTTCATGTTCATAAAAAAACAGCCAGAATAACAACTAAGTCTATGGAATTCTCATACTACCAACATTCTGCTCATTTCCCTAAAATAGAGATCTTGGTACCCACATAAAGATTTACAAAGCATCCACTTGCCTTGTGAAATTTCCTTATATACTGAAAATAGTTAACACACCACACAATATATTTTTATTATTTTTTAAAGACTTATTTATGCATACAAGAACTGGGGTACAGGTCAGCTGTGTGGAGAGTGAGAGGATTCACCAGAGACAGAGTGGGGAGCAGAACAGGCAGATCGACTAAAATAACTGCTGAAGGGAGCAGTAGGGCGGGTCAGGAAAGGTGTGCTGCACAGTGCAGGTCAATTTGATCGAACTCATCCTGCAGTGGCTAAGGATAGCTTCATAGTGCTGTGCTTTAACCCCTTGTGCCACCAAGGAGGATCCATATATTTTAACTAAGCTATACAATTCCTATAAGTTCAAAGTCACCTGCAAGGTGACATTGTATCATACTACATAAATAATAGTACACATGTTAAGTGCTTAATTTGAAACAAGGCAAAATAATACAAGAATTAACTTGTAGCTAGATCAATACAATGAAATTTTTTTTCAGGGAAATGTAAATTCACTGGACATTTGGAACACATAAAATGACAGAAAAATGGATGATAAACAGAAAATCAACAAACCACTGAATGAAATTCATAAGATACATTACAGAGCTCAGTATTTATGCAACACTGTGAGATGCAAAGAAAATAATGGTAGACAACCCATAAGCATAACTATAAGGTATGATAATTTCTTTCTTGCAATTACTATTCATCCAAAAAATCTAAAAATATTTTGCAACTCAGTATTAGTAATAACTTCTGGCATTTCATTATTTTCCTTCTGCAGTTTAACATTTCTTACTGCTCTGAGGTCCCTGAAGCACTCATTCATTACTTCTGCTTTCTTTTTTTCCTTCCATAATTTGCAAATAGAAGAAAAGGTATGTTACTTTAAGGCAGGGTTTCTCAACTTTGCAACTACTGGAACTAATGACTCTTTTTTGTGAGAGATTGTTCCTTATAGACTGTGAAACAGACCCCTGGCTTCTTATACACTTGATATTAACAATCCACCATACCCCCCAAATTAGGGAAATAAAAAATATAACTTGACACTGCTAAACTACTCCTATTTGTGGGAAGGGGGTATAAAAAAAATCTGCTCAAATTTGGAAACTGCTGCTTAAAATATACATATATTTACACACACACACACACACACACAAACACACTAGACTGAAAGAAAAAAATCAAAAAGCAACACTGAGAGGACAAACAGAGACAGAAAGAGAAGAAAATGATAGAAAGGAAAGGTTAACATCTAAAAAAATAAATACATTTATTCACACATACCTAAGTTTCTCAATGGCTAAATGAACATAATTAAGTATATGAACAAATATTCTTAAGTCATGAAAAATACTACCTCTTGGCCCTCCCTGGTGGCGCAGCAGGTTAAAAGCAGCACTGAGAGGCTTAAGCCACTTCCTCATGAGTTCGATCCCCGCCTGCCCTGGAGGTGACCACATGGCGTGGCAGACCTCTCCTGGCCTGCCCGCTGCTCCCCTCAGCAGTGTGCTTTGTCGATCTGCCTGTTCTGCTCCCTGCTCTGTCTCTGGTGAATCTTCTCACCCACCGCATCTCTGGCCTGTACCCCAGTTCTGTATGAGTAAATAAATAAATCTTTAAAAAAAAAAAAAGATACTACCTCGGACCAAACTGCTTAGTCAGGACCATTACTGAAAACTTTGTGTACCTATAATGTATACAAATTAGTTTTAACTTTTTTTTTAAGACTTATTTATTTATTTGTACATACAGAACTGGGGTACAGGCCAGAGGCTAAGGGGCGGTGAGAGGATTCACCAGAGACAGAGTGGGGAACAGAACAGGCAGATCGACGAAGTACACTGCTGAGGGGAGCAGCGGGCGGGTCAGGAGAGGTCTGCCACGCCATGTGGTCACCTCCGGGGTAGGCGGGAATCGAACTCATGTGGAAGCGGCTTTAGATTCTCAGTGCTGTGCTTTAACCCACTGCGCCACCAGGGAGGGCCTAGTTTTAACTTTTTATGACACCTTACAAGACAATTAATTGAAAAGAAAAATAATATTTGCAACATGTATGAAAAAGTTTTAATATTCTAAAATACATATAGAAGTGTCATCTGTACCAGGGTAGCATAAAACATTCGGTTTTCAAGACACCTGCAACCCCATGTTTATTGTTGCTTTATTTACAATAGGAAAGACATAGAATCAACCTAAATGCCCAAAAGTAGATGAGTGGATTAAAAAGAGATGGTATATATACACAGCAATCAAAAAAGATACACTCATGACTTTTGCAGCAATATGGATGGGGCTGGAAGGGATCATATTAGTGGAATAAGTCAGAAAGAAAAAGAAAAATACCCGATGGTTTCATTCATAGCAGGAGCATAAAGGACCAGAAGGGGAAAAAAAAAATAATGAACAACTATATATCAGAGACATTTTATGGGGGTGGAGTGGGGAATGGGATCAAAAATGGGGGGGGGAGTACAGGGGACTATGGTGATGGCACACAGTTGATATGGTGATGGGAAGTCCATGGGGATTACAAATGAGATGGAAAAAGGCACAAAATGAAGTAAAATTAACTATTATAATAAAAAATGTTAAAAAAAACGTTCAGTTTCACCCCCTTTAATCTATAAACTACTATAGAACATCTATAGTTCAGCAAAAGTTCATCTCCATATTAAGTTAGGACACCAGAGATCAAATGCATCTGTGTATTGGAAGATGGGTAGAATGTGAAGCATGGGAGAGCAGTGAGGGAGGGGTCATCAATTTGTGGCAATGTTAGAATGGGAGGGCAGACAATGTAGTCAGCCACGTTCTAGGTCCAAGAGAATAAAGACTCACCACATAACTGAGACCCCACCAAGGAATGCCACATTGGCAGTGCACACAACTACCACCAATCCTCCATCTACTCCTACAGCAATTATACCTGCATGACAAGTGAAACCAGTAGCCCTAAACTCAGACCTTAAGTCCTAAAGTGGTCAATAATAGAGGCTGCCTGCATGGGTTGGAACTCGGACCCAGAATTCAAAGAGAAGAGTCAGCAGTGAAAGCAAAGAACTCAAATCTGGCCTCCCAACAAATGTGGTTATCCAGAACCTTGACTTTTCCCCACCATTCATCTCATACCTCCACCTCTGCCAAAGTGCAAAATGTGAGACACAGTAGCTGTTGCCCACTGCAGCTGCAATTACACCAGCAGCAGAAGGACACTGGTGGATCCAGAGACACAGGCAGCAACTGCTAGAGAACTTGGTCCTCTGGAAGAGGATAGCTACATGCAATTTAGATAAAAGAGACCAAAAACAAAAGCCATAGATTAACTTACTAGCAAAAAACGCATCTAATTAGCTAAGCTAAAATTAATACATGAAATCACTAAACTGTTAAAAACTGTAGTCAAGGCCCTCCCTGGTGGCGCAGCAGGTTAAAGCACAGCACTGAGAATCTAAAGCCGCTTCCGCATGAGTTCGATCCCCGCCTGCTCCGGAGGAGATCCACAGGCCAGGCAGATCTCTCCTGACCCGCCCGCTGCTCCCCTCAGCAGTGTACTTCGTCGATCTGCCTGTTCTGTACCCTACTCTGTCTCTGGTGAATCCACTCACCCTCCACATCTCTGGCCTGTACCCCAGTTCTGTATGAATAAATAAATCTTTAAAAAAAAAAAGCAGTAGATAACCTCTAACTAAGGTTACTCCCATCAGGCTATCATCAAATTTCTCAGCAAAAATCTAAATGCAAGGAGAGTAGAATAATATTTAAAATATTGAAAAATAAAGCAAATGGGCAAGCATATTCTATCTATTAAAGTTATCCTTAGAGAAAAATAAAAGTTTTTGTCAAAAAAAAATCACTGACAAAGTTTAACTACCACCAAACTTGCTTTAAAAGAAATATGAAAAGGGGTTCTTCCAACTGAAAAGAAATATGAAGTAAGAAGCAAAGCTTTGAATAAGGAGATAAACAAAATCATCAACTTGCAAATCTACCTCAGAATAGGACACTGAATACTGAATTGCAGCATAAAAGTTAAAGCAAAAGAAGAATTAAAAATAACTAGAGAAATTTCATGTTACAGTATAAAAAAGTCATTAAAAATTGTGACAAAAACATTAAAGGGAAAAATGAAAAGTAGGGAATATGAATAGGCAAATGCAGGTAAAGAGCTACCACAAAGAGGTGTTTTATATAAACTGCATGGCAACTATAAAACT